AGTCCCTGGAACTAGTCAACCTAGGAGGGCAAGGAGCAAAAACTGTCCTTTATGTCCCTCTGACCAAATTAGTATAGGCTTCAAAGTATGCCTGTTAAACATCCAAGAATGTTCGTTCCACCAGTCTGGTACTTTTAGTTACCATGTGTCATGTAGATAAAGCTTGGGCAAAGACCAGTTGTTCTCAGATAAACCTTGCCTAGACATATATTTCTTGATCTGGTATGTATAATTTGTCAGTAGGTTGTTGGACTAATATGGTTCCCTCTGGTTTTTAAAACTAGCTAGGCATTATCTCTCACATTATCTAACCCTTCCATCATGGTTTCCCCAATTAAGGTGCCCCCATTTTTCCCATTTCTCCCGCAAGAGATGTAATAACATTTTTAAAATTATTAAGTTAGCACACAAAGTAATGACTTTCACTATGGTGTTTTCACACACATGGCCACATGCATGTATTTTATGGGTATGAGTGTATTACCTGCACGTATATAAGTGCACCTGTGTCATGCAATACCTGAAGATGTCAGAAAAGGGCATCAGAGTCCCTGGAACTGGAGTTACAGATGGTTGTTAGCTGCTGTGTGGGTGCGGTCCTCTGCAAGTGCAATCAATGCTCTTAACCACTGAGCTACTTCTCCAGCCCCTTCTCTCTTTTTTTTTAAGATTAAAAATATTTTAGACAGGGGCTGGAGAGATGGCTCAGTGGTTAAGAGCACTGACCGCTCTTGCAGAGGACCCAGGTTCGATTCCTAGCACCCACATGGCAGCTATGAACCATCCTTAACTCCAGTTCCAGGGGAATCTGAAGCCCTCTTCTGACCTCCGTAGTGTTGCATGATATGGGTGGCACTCACATGCATGCAGGCAACACACTTAAACACATAAAATAAAAATAATAAAATATTAAAAAAATATTTTAGGGGCTGGCGAGACGGCTCAGAGGTTAAGAGCACTGACTGCTCTTGCAGAGGACCTGGGTTCAATTCCCAGCACCCACATGGTGGCTACGAACTGTCCTTAACTCCAGTTCCAGGGGAATCCAAAGCTCTCTTCTGACCTCTGCAGCATTGCACGACATGGGTGCACTCACATACATGCAGACAATACACTCGTACACATAAAATAAAAATAAAATATTAAAATAATTTAGGCCAGGTGTGTGGAGGTAAGTGTCTTTAGTCCCAGCATTCAAGAGGCAGAGGCAGGGCGATGTCTGTGATTTCAAGGCCAGCCTGGCCTACATAGAGAATTTTGAGCTGGCCAGGGCTACACAGATCCTGTCCAAATAAAAACAACCCCCCAAAAAAGATTTAAAATTTTTATGTTTATGTTTTGTGTCTGTATGAGTGTATGCCAATGTGTGTTGGGGTACCTGTGGAGGTCTGAAAAAGGCATCAGATTCCCTGGAGCTGGAGTTAAAGGAGGTTGTGAACTTCCTAATGTATATACTGGGAATGGACTTGGGTCCTCTGCAAGAGCAGCCATGCACTTTTAATTGCTGAGCCATCTCTGTTTTTCTACTGCTTATGGAATTATGGATGGTTGTTAGCCACCACGTGGTATGGGCATTCTCTAATTGCAATGTGGCTTTGGAGAAGGGCTAGAACATCTAGACTTGGGAAAGGTGTGGGGGGCTATGGGAAAGCCATCCATGCTGGGTGAACACTTTCTGGTTCAGTCTTTGGGTGGAGCACCCACGCTCTTGTGACCTCTCACTCTTGTTCTGTAAGTCCAGTAAGCTCATTGGTTCCCTAGAGTGAACTCAGTTTGTTCTTGGGACCTTGGGAGAGGTAGATGGATGATGTTTACATTTCCCCCAGGGAAGTTTAGCAACATGCTTTGATTTGCATTGTCTAGTTTGATTTCGAATGTATCTTTTCTATGGACATATGCTCATAGAAATTTCCTGTTCACATCTTTTTTCCTATCTTTTGGGTTATAGTTTTCTTTGCTATTGATCATACTGTCTTACTGATTTTAAACATCGTCTGTTATCCCGCTAATGACTGGTGAAATCCTTATTTTTTACATAGTCAAATTAATTGTTTTTTCTTTCATAAAGTTTGTGCATTTGATACTCCCTCCTTTCCCAAGTCATACAGATGTTCTGGTTTTCTTCTATTACTATAACCTTTCATATTTAGGCCTGTGGTCCACTTAGAGCAGTGCCATCCAATAGAACTGTAATATATGCCACAGTCAAAAAGTGAACTGGAAAATGGGCAGTAGGTACGACTCAGAGGTAAAGCACTTATGTAACATGCACAAGACCCTGAATTCCATACTCAGCACCACAATAAGTAAAATTTCCAGCAAACATCAAAAAGATACAAAGTTTGAAATCCACTTTAATACTTTTGACATTTCAACACATAATCAATATAAAAATTGAGATATTAAATTCTTTTCCCTCAAAGGTCCTGGAAATCCAGTACTTTACACCTACAGCACATGTGCTTGGATTTGCCACACTGGAACATGCTACCAGTGGTGTTCAGTAAGAATGCAAACATGCTTATCTCTGTATAACCCCATTCCTGTCCCTGTTTCCCCACCAGTCAGCGGCACCTGCACTAATGGAATCTTGTGTGCCCATCTTCTTGTACCCCATTGTCTGTCATCTTCCTGGCTCTTTTCCTCATTTCCACCCACAGTGGACAGTTTGTTTTCCCAAGACTTCCTAGCCCCGTGCTTATGCTCTTCTGTCCTCAGGTAGAGTAGCCACGAGTGTGCAGATGGTTCTCGCACATTCCCTGGCTTTCTCTGCATTCACTTCAGCTGGCAGCCCTGTTTACTCTCCCTTTGACATCAAGTTCATTTTCCCATTAACTTCTCTCTCACTGTATTTGCTCTAAACTTTTCAGTGACTGCTTTTGTTCCAAGCCTGAAGGCTTGTCACTTTGGGGTACAAAGGCCCATAATCTCTGAGCTCCTTACAATCACTGACCCTCTTCCAACAGGGCAAGTTTTACAGTTATACTTGAATTACAGGATAGTGTCATGCTGATCACTATCCTGATGGGCTGTTGCTGTTACATTTATGTACTATGGGGTGCTAAATCTGTTCATCTTAAGAGAAAAGGATAATGATTCTGTGTGTGGAGACATACGGTGCTATCCTTGGCCTGCACACACCTGGCTCTGCTTGTCCCTGTCTTGACTGATGACAGCCATCAGGGGTCTGCTTGGGGCCCTTGGCCAGTTATGCTAAGATAGTTTTCTTGGAAACATATCTAGAGAAAACAATAGAAGAACAAAGCTTTTTCTATGGAGTGGGGGAGGTCACCAAGAAGCAATCACCTGTAACGTCTGAAGTCAACCAAATCCTCCAATT